ATATACCCAGAAAATGCACGTCCATACAACAAGGACATATGTTCAACCATGTTCATAGCAGCACTGTTTGTAATAGCCAGAACCTGGAAGGAACCTAGATGCTCCTCGACAGAAGAATGGATAGAGAAAATGTGGTACATTTATACAATGGAGTACTACTCAGCAGAAAAAAGCAATGGAATCTCGAAATTCACAGGCAAATGGATGGAACTAGAAGAAACCATCCTGAGTGAGGTAGCCCAGTCACAAAAAGACAAACATGGTATGTACTCACTCATATATGAATTTCAGATGTAGAGCAAAGGATTACCAGCCTACAATCCTCTTCACCAAAGAAACTAGGAAACAAAAAGGACTCTAAGAGAAAAATGCATAGACCCCAGAGAATGGGAAGGGGCAGGATCTCATTAGCTCATTGGGAGCATGAGGGTAGGGGACAGGGAGTTGCCAGAATGAGAGGAGGAAAAGAGGAGGGAAGAGGAGGAATGGAGGAGCAGAAATGTTGAGTTGGGGAAAAAATAGAGGAGAACATGATGAGAGATACCATATCAGAGGGAACCATTATAGATCCGAGGAGAGATCTGGCACTAGGGAGATTTCCAGATTTCTACAAGGTTGACACAAACTGACAATCTAGGCAATGGTGGAGAGGATAACCTAAATTCCCTTCCCCTATGAGACTGATGACTACTTTTTATGACATCCTAGAGCCCTCATCCAGTGGCTGATGGAAGCAGAGGCAGACATCCACAGATATACACTGAACTGAACTCTGGAACTTAATTGCAGAGAGGGAGGAATGAAGATCAAAGGGGTCGGTACCAGGCTGGTGAGATCCACAGAATCAGCTGGCCTAAACAAGAGGGAACACATCGACCCCAGACTGCTGTCTGGGAGGCCAGCACAGGACTGATCCAGACCCCTGAGCATGGATGTTAATGAGGAGGCCTCTGCACTCTAGGGGGTTCTGGGTAGTGTATTATTATTTTTCCCTGGTGTAAAAAGGGACTTTGAGAGCCCATCCCACGTGAAGGGATGCACTCTTGGCCTGGACACATGGGGGAGGGCTTAGGCCTGGCCCAGGATGATGTGGTGGACTTTGAGGAGCGCCTTCGAGGGCCCTACCCTGCCTGGGAAGTGGAGGGCAGATGGGGTGGGGAGCAGGGGAGAGGATTGTGGGAGGGTTGGGAGGAGGAGAGGGGGAAGTGATTGACATGTGAAGCAAGCTTGTTCCTAATTTGAACTAAAAAATTAATTACAAAAAAGAAAAATTGATATCACCTTTCTTCATACTGTTTGTCTGTAATAATCTATGTCATCTGTTGGTTTAGATGCCTCTTCCAGTTCTTATTCATCATCCTATTCTTGAATGCAAACTGTTACAGCAGCAACATCACACCATACAAAACAGAAATGACAAGACAGGATTTCTCCCTACCACTAGCCAGTCCACTGCAGGAGTCACTACCTCACCAATACTCACAAAACTTACTCACAGCTTAGCATTGCTGTGGGCTTATCTGTAGAGCAAGCATGCTCATCTGCATTGTGTCTGACTTACCTTTTGAAATCTATTTCTGTTTTGCCCCTAAACCTCCATCTTGATGTGTGCATAGTTGGCACTATTTTAGACTGACCTTTCTCTATCTCTTTTTCAAATCTCTATCTTTTCAGATATCCTTTTCACTCCCTTTGTGGATTTCTGATGCTTCTCCTTTGTTTGGGTTTGGGACAAAACCTATCTTTCCCTATTCTGTTATTCCTTCATTAGCTAACATAAAAGCATCTTCCTTTTAGTCTATGATCTTACCTACAAGTCTTAAGTTCATAAATTTCTAAAAAAAAAAAAAAAACCTGGGAGTTTTCATGATATTCCACTAAATTTATAGTAGACTTCTGAAAGAAACTGAATCTACCAAGTCTTCTAATTAATTATTTTGAGTTAAGGCTCCATTTCATGATCAGTCCTTAACTTTAGTCAGCACTACTTTGAAATTCTCTAGGAATAGGTTTGGGAGTCTTTGATAAAACAATTAAAAAACCAGGAGACTGTACTCAAAACACGTACTATTCAAAGAACTTTAAACAATATGGAAAAATATCTATTGAATAAAAGAAAAAGAAGAACTCAATTTGAAAATGGACCAAGTGTTTTAGTAGAGTCTGAAAAAGAATGAATATGGCTTATTAATGACCACATGGAAAGGCACTCTACACCAGGTGTCAAATAATTTCTATTATGATGCCTTTCTGTAAAATGATGACTATGACAAGTACTGGAAAGAAGGTCAAACAGTTTTACATTTTAAAGTCTGCATAAGGGGGTTGGAGAGATGGCTCAGTGGTTAAGAGAACTGACTGCTCTTTCAGAGAACTTGGGTTCAATTCCCACACCTACATGGCAGCTCACAACTGTCTGTAATTCCAGTTCCAGAGGACCTGACATCCATGGCAAATCACCAATGAATATAAAATACATATTAATAAATTTTATTTAAAAGTCTACATAAGGCCATGTTCTTGTCTATATGACTTGACTTTAATGAGAGTAGAAGGATCATCTAAGCAGAAATGCAGCCTGACGACCCACTGTGTGCTGTGAAAAGGCCCCTCATCAGATGTGAAATGTATGTCACACTGCAGAGGCATCGTTCTTCCAACATTTTAAGCAAGACTTCAGATCCCCTGAGGCACAGGTCAGTACAAGACAGAAAGCATGCTGTAGCTCCTTCAACAAGGACATGATATTTTCCATGGGAAGGAATTTTGGTGCCAGAAGAAGACTCATTGGTGCCAGGGTTTCTGCACAGAAACCTTTAGGAAGCTCAGGAAACTGTTGAGTGAAGACCTCCACTTTTGACCACAGAGTGGCAGTGCTGCATCAGAGCATATGAAGTCTGTTTCTTCTAAAACCTCACAAATGAGCCAGAGGTTATGCACCCATCAGGCTGCATTTATATGTTTATTTGCACATATATGTGTAACTAGAATTTTTAAAAGGGCCCATGAATTTTGGAAGTGAAGCAGGGCAGTAATACAGTAGAGATTTGAGGAAGGAGATGGAAAAGGTAATTTAGGTAAATACATTTTCATTTTAAAAACTGCAGAAAATAAATCATCTCCTAACTTGCTTAAGTGTATTTAGAGAACAACAGATACATGTATCTATCTGTTTACCGATATTGTATCTGTTTATCCTGGGCCCATAGGGTTGACAAATAGGAATTTTCAAGTGAACACTAAAGACACATGCTGTCCTTCACAGTTGGGCCCACTTTACCTTCTCTGATGTACATTAGTAAGGTTGTCATCTACACTGGGTCCAATCTCCAGCAACCCTTATATGACCTATGCCTAGAATTATGGTATATATCCTTACCACTGAAAAGCCTTCTCATGGAGATCAATCTCCTCCATCAGGATTTTCTCTGACCTTCAGGAATCAGTGTCCACACCCTTTCCTTCACGGTCTTGTCTAGACACACAGGTGTCTTAGGTAGGCTTCTAGTGAGACTAGAATGGAGATTGAAACTCTGCCTGTCGAGGAAGACACTCGAGCCCTTCCATACAGTAGTAGGCACTCAGCAAATACGTAGCACTCCATCCTCTTCTTCAACTAAACTTGCTTTTTTTGTCTTCAGAGCACCTCAAATTTTTCTTCTTTTTTCACTGAAATATTTCACACATGAGAACAAGTATGTATTTTTCTTTAAAAATTTTGATTTTTTTTATTTTGATTAATACACCCTCCAGTTCTATTCATTTTCTTACAAATGGCATGATTTCTTTCTTCCATATGGCTAGACATGCTCTCTTGTTTCATGCAATATCTTCTTCATTTGTGTGGTGACAGGTGGCACCAGGCTGTTTCTACTTCCTGGTTATCATGGTCTTCTCTGGAACCAGTGTGTAATGGTTCCTTATAAACATGCGTATGTAGGTACCTCTCTAGCTTGATGACTTCAGTTAGCTGGATAAATGGCAACAAGTAGAAAACTGAATCATTGGCGATCTTTGTTTCTTTAAAAAAATATTTTATTTGAACTTTTTATAAAGTATATTTTGATCATATTTCAGCTCCCCAGCTCCTCTCTCATCTCCTTACCTACCCAACCTCATGATCTCTCTTCTTCCCTCTCTCTCCAATAAAAAATTTAAAAAGCAAAAACTAATAAGAGGGAAAATATCAAAACAAAACAAAAGGAAGCAAAGAGCCCATTATGTGTGGAGTTCAGGGCCTGGGACCTGCCATGGAGTGTGGTTGATATAATGTGTGACCCTCCATTTGGGGAAGAATGACTTTCCCTTCCCCAGCAGGGAACAATTGCAAAAAGCTTCTTTGTTAGGGGTGAGAACATGTCCCCTTCTCAGTGCTTGGATTTTTCTATTTTGAAACTTTGCAGGTTTTATGCATTCTGCCACAAATGCAGTAAATTTATATGTGCATCAGTCATGTTGTTTCTGAAAGACATTGTTCCTTGGAGTCAGTCATCACCCCTGGCTCTTACAATCTTCCCACACACTCTTCTAAATAGATCCCTGAACTTTGGGGGAAGTACTTTGATGAAGACAACACATTTAGGGCTGAGTGCTGCAAAGTCTCTCACCCTAAGCACATTGTCCAGTGGATGTCTGTATCAATTCCCATCTACTTCAAGAACCGTTTTTGATAAGGAATGAACATAGCACTGATCTATGTGTAAAGCATGTGTACACTGCCATTCTTGGTGGCTAAAGCAACATGCTATAATAAGTTAACACCAGCGTGTAAAGAATAGTTCTTTATAAGCAAGGGATTTCTAATTTTCAAAAACTGTACTTTCACTGAAACAAAATTTGAGCCAAATGGGAAGTGCTTCCTATGTTAGAAATAGCTTTAGACAAAGTATTTGCGAGGGGTGGAGCCTGTTGAAAGAAGTGGGTGACTGTGAGGTTAGAGTCTGTGTTGTGGGGGAGAGAAAAGGCCACCTGCATTCTCCCCAAGCTTCAGCCTAGGAGGAATGGACAAGATCCTGAAAGCATCATTTGTACTCCTAATCCTTCACCCAGCCTGTGAGTCATGGAGGAGAAACCCCAGGACGGGGATTAATGTGGAGGCATGGGAGAACTGGGGCACCAGACAAAATCATGAATGTTGAAACCATCAAGAGAATGTAGAGATCTGGGAATCTAACGACATTTGTTATTTCTCTACACAGGGGTGAGTGGCCAGCAGGAGAAACGTGACCAGCAGCAAGTGAGACAAAGTCCCCAATCTCTGACAGTCTGGGAAGGAGGGACTTCAGTTCTGAACTGCACTTATGAGAACAGTGCATTTGACTATTTCCCATGGTACAGGCAGTTCCCTGGAGAAGGCCCTGCGCTCCTGATAGCCATACTTTCAGTGTCTAATAAAATGGAAGATGGAAGATTCACAGTCTTCTTGAGTAAAAGGGACAAACAGCTCTCCTTACACATCACAGATTCTCAGCCTAGAGACTCAGCCACCTACTTCTGTGCAGCAAGTGCACAGTGCTCTCCAGGCACCTGCAGCCCACACCCAAACCTGCAGCTGAGGCTCCAGCAAAACCCTGCTGTGGGGCTGAGCCTGGCAGAGGTGCAGAGCAGCTTTCATTTGCAGGAGCAGGTGACTGGTGACACAGTGAATGTAAGAATTAGACTCATTCAGCCACAGACAGACCAAGGTGAAATCACTGCCTGCTTTTCCCCAGTCTCCCTTTGATCCTCAGGCACCAATGGAGTCTTACGTCTATTTCCTTAACTAGTGTACTTGAATAGTTTACTGAGTAGTTGTATTAATAGTGCTCTGTGTGGTTGGTTTGTACCAAGTGTAAATGATATAAAGCTCCATCGCCCTACACTCTTGTCAACCATGTTAGTGTTATGGTTATTATGGCCCATAGCCAGTAGACTTTGATTTTGGCTTCTGTGATAGAAATCACATAGAATTGTCTTTTACCTTAATCTCCTCTAATGGCCAGAGACGTGGTGATTTATGTGACCACCAATCTCTTCCACTTCCTTTTGTTTTGCCATTTATATCCCCATCTAACTTCAAGAAATTCAAGTATGTAAACCATGAGCTACTCACATAGATGCACTTATGTTCACAATAGATATATGACCTCAGTGGGGGAGAAATGAAGTTTACTCTTGTAACAAAAATATATAACTTTCACCAAAGAAATGGTTTCACATGTGGTTTTCACCAATGAATTAAAAAATATAATGAGTGTAAAAAGCGAATGTTGGAATGAGACATACTTCATGACACTACTTATATGAAATCTCAGAAATACAAATGAAATATTGTATGTTGATATTCTGAAATTCTGTCATTATGTTTGCATTGTTGTTGTTAGCATGTGTTTGTTTGTGTGTATACATTCCACAGTGCATCCATGGAGGTCAAAGGATGGTTTTATAAATTCAGTTTTCTCCTTCCTCTATAACCGAATTCCTAGGGTTAAACTCAGGTCACCAGACTTCCAATACAAGTTTATTGTTTTCTAGTATGTAACTACAAGTAATATTACAAATGTGTATATAGAAACTTATATATTATATTATAGAAAATATAATATATTTTAAAGTATTTTAAGTTATATTTTTAAAACTATATTGTGTGTGTGTGTGTGTGTGTGTGTGTGTGTGTGTGTGTGTGGTGTGTGTGTGCATGCATAACCTCGTGTATGTGTGCAAGTGAACAAATGTTGACCCATGTGTGGAGTTTGGAAGGAATCTTGTGGTATGGGTTCTCCTTCCTTCCATGATGTAGGTTCCAGGGTTTGAACCAAGTTCATCAGACTAACAAGCAGGTGCCTTATCCACTGAGCCATCTCAGACATAGTTTTTTACTTAGTAGAAGCAGCTGCAGTTGTTATGGGCCCCAGCAGTGTACACGATGGAAGGAGGACCTCTTATTGCCTAACACTTTGCAAGACATACTTTCATGATGCCACATATATGCCAACAAAAATTGCATTGAAAAAGAATCTTTAAATTTGTTCATGCCACACAGTTCAAGGTTCTGTTAGACCCAGGACCCTAAGGGAGAATTGCTTTTGTCTATGAATTGGAGGCTAGCCTGAGTAACAAATTAAAAGACTGTACCAGGAAAATGAAACAAACCTAAAGAATGGGGAAGTTGTTTAACCTAAAATGCACAATATACAATATCTTTTTACCAATCCATAACACATAGCTTTTTAATATGCAAAAAGCAAAAAAGTCAAATCAAACCAATTGACTGTTAGCAGTAAGAGACAGCCCACTCAATGCCAGCATGTGAACTCCTTGTTTTGTTTGTCAAGTTAAAAACAGATCAGAAACTTGGGTGGTGTGTGTGTGTGTGTGTGTGTGTGTGTGTGTGTGTGTGTGTGTGTGTGTGTGCACGCGCACGCGCGCGTAGAACAGTCTTCACTGAGTAGAAAGTTCAAAAGTAAAATAGAGTATGATGCTGGGGTTACAGTGTGAGAGCAGAAGCATAGTCTGAGATGCAAGAGGGAGAAGCACCTCTGGGCAGCATAGCAGGAACCTGTGCTGTATGAGGGATATGAGGTTGAAAATTTTGTAAAGGAACCTGATGGGGGAGGTCCTTCTGTGTATATGTTTGTCTTATTGATTGATAAAGTACTGTTGGCCAGTAGAGAAGCAAGTTAGGCAAGACTAGGAGTTGAGGAGGATTCTGGGAAATGTAGTAAGAGAAGTCTTGTGATCCAGGCAGGAAGTGACATGGCAGGCAGACTTAGAATATAAGCAGGGACAAGCAGGAAATTGCCCTCTTCCTGCTCCTCCTCTCTTCTTTGTAGTCGCCATGTGATCACTGGCAAGAGAGGGCACATATGGCCGGCATCCTCAATAAGATAAGTTCTTGTAAAATATATAGATTAGTAATTG